CGAAGGGCAATGCAAAAAAACATTTAACCCTCAAGGCGCCACGGTTGACTTAAATCCACAATATGCGGTACTGTTTACAACTGCCGATTATGTGCCAAAATTCATTCAGACTTCTGCCACACAATGATTTCCACTGCCGTACTATTTCCCTGACCCTTGAGTGTGGTACAGTGTGCGTTCTGTTTGTGTGTTCATATTTCATGATGTCCATATGACGTCTTAATATGCAAATTAGATGGGTACATTTAATGAGCCTTCCTTATAATTTCTCTAATTTACATACAGCCTCTATCTTGAACCACTTTTAAGAAATTAAGATGTCAAAATTTAGCCTCTTGGGAAAAAACCTCTGGCGCCTGACGGGTTAGTACACAGAAAAGCTGACCACTTTAGCGTGACCCAAGTTTTACTGTCTAATTTACCGCCACAAAACAAGCCTTTTATGCCCTTCACCTTTTGTCTGCTTCTATTCTAACTCCGGACACTTCAGTGACCGCCGTGTTTGCTTTTGTTTACAACTCCACCAGGACCATAACGTTTAATTGGGAGTTACTGTAGTTTAGAGCATGCTTTCACGTCTCACTACCTTTTGCGCCGCCCTGTCATTTGTATACTAGCATTGTTTAAAGTGTAACAAAGGGAGGGGTCCGCTTTTAGCCCGGTCGCTCAAGTGTAAAGTGGGGGATTATGGGTAATACGGGTCATCGCACTTCTGCATACAGTAGACTTTGAATGATGGGTTTGAGACATCATTATGAGCCTTTGTGTCTGTTTGGGGGTTCGAAACGGGGGTATCTTCAAATGGGACAGTGGGAGGAGGGGAGGGGGGTATGTCTGTGATGGGATTATCAGACAGGCGTCATCACCTCGACGCGAGATGCCGTGAAGGAGTGAGTAGAAAGAGCTGATAGGGCGCTTAAAAGAGCAAAGAATACTACTGGCCCGACGGAGCAAAGCTATCTACCGCTATCTCCTCTGTAAATTTACTCAGCTTATCTGCTCGGCCAATCAATCACAGCTAAAAGAAACTCAAACAAGCCTAAAATATGTGGGGAAGATTCACAGACAATTGGGTCAGATTTGTTCTTACTTGCAGTTGTCCCTTGATTGATTTTGTGGAAATCTATAGTCTCATTCCCTATAAGCAAAAACGTGAGAAGTTTGTCTAAAAACTTTTTTCCTTTTTGAGCAACACAGGCTGGAGGATTAAAACAAGTCAACTATTGACCCGCCTCGCAGTCTAGTATTTTATCCAAGGCTAAGACCAAATATAGCAGCGATTCAGACACCAACAAAACTGTTTTATAGCCCTTAGTTTACATGTGGCTCAGGTGAAGAAGGTTATAAAACTTCAGTCACACAAGGAACAACATTTTGCATAATGACAGCATAACAAGAGTGAATCTCTGACCATCGAAGTTTTGGCTTACTGCTCTTAACAGTCTTTGTAAAAAAACAAAAAAACAATTGATTTTATTTTTTTAGAGTTCCACATGGATGTAAAGCCTGGCGTAGTCCATTAGAGTGCGATTCCCTGAGGATCCTGGGAGTGAGGTTAGAAGACTGGAGTTTGAAAGTGTGACGTTTGTTTTGACTCTTTTATTTTGACCTGTCCTGTCTTCCCCATGATGAAAAAACTCCCTTTTCTTTCCCACTGTCGTCCCAGGACATTGGTCATCTGTCCCTTGTGGGCCAAAAGTTCTATGAGTTTTTAATATTGCTCAGACTGTACATATTATCAGATGTAGTCAAACCTGTCTCTGCCGTTCAAACCAATGTACCACCACTTTCGCCTTCTGTGGGCTTTTTCAAAATGGCCGTGGGTCAGGAAACTGTGAAAAAACAAATTTCGCACGCCTTAGCTGCACTAGCCCCATTCATTTATAACGAGTGCGTTCAAGACGGATAAAAAAAAAATACTCTGCATCAACAGCATCTGGAACGGTTTGGACCATGAGTCACTGTTGAACCTAGTTCCACTTTTGAGAGGAAATAAGACGCATAAAAAAAACTTTGGGTAATTCTCTTTCTGGGTACACCCCCACAGACCCAGAGTAGTATTGCAAGCATGTTAGCGCACATGCTCATTGACCTTTTGGGAGCCAGGACCCGCCCACACTGATTTGAACTGTTTGATTCTCTGATCTGTGTTGGCAATTCCAACTGTTTTGTAAAGTCCTCCGAGTAACAACTGTTGTGATTTAGGGCTTTACAAGATACTAGAATCTTTCCGTTTACGTATTAGTCAGTGGGAATAAGCCTGTTGACAGAGCCTCCATCACCATGTCTGTGTGCACTCTCCTGCTGTATGTTCTGTATGTACAGTAAAATGTAAATGTAATGTGTGTGTCTGTAAGGTCATGCTGCGTGCGGCTGCTCTCATTTACGGCGGTTTCCTGTAAAGCCATAACACAACGATTATTGACGAGGCCACGGGGACACAGGCCGAGTGCATTAGTGAGTTCTGCTGTTTGTCCACCTGCAAACATGCAAATCTAAATGTCCTCTTTCTTCAAATGACTGCAAATGGATCTATTTTCAAACCCTTGGCTTGTGGATCTGCTCCCAGGGGTCAGGAGAAAAAGACAGGCATTTCTTTCTGCAAAACCCATGATATTATGAGTAAGAGTATGAAAGATTAGACATTAGTAATCCATAGGCAACACACGGGGGACCCGCAGAGAAAGATACAGCTTATGGAATGGAACTAGAATTTATTGAATTGAGGAACACTGCGCCAATATTTGGGGTTTCTGTGTGAGCTGTGCTGCAGAGAATTATAAATATGAATAACCGTATATCGTACTTACAGGCCTGTCAGGATAACTCATTCTGATGGACAATATATTACTTAAAATAATAATAAAATGTAAATGTGTTGAATGAGAATGTTGTGACTTCCAGTACATGACAACAGAGCAAGACAATCCTAGCCTAGCATTTTTTTTACATAAAGCACGAAACTTTTGTCTTATTGTTGAAATGAGTAATAAAACATTTTCAATTTTGGTTGCATTAGTTGTTTTTTTAATCCTCAGAGATAACACAATGCAGTACTTGTATTGGTATTCCATATCGGCAAGAACTTTAATTAAAGTACAATAAATAATATTGGTGCATCCCTGATAAAATAAAATGAAATCTACATAACATAAAATTACCTGAGGTGCACAAAATACACACAATAGACACATACAGCACATACAGTACATACCATTTCAATACAATCAATACTTCTAGTTGCGATTAACAGTCAATCATTTTAATCAACCAGCAAAAAATAAAAACAGAGAAATTAGATCCTGTCAGTTCTCACAGCCTCAGCATAAGTCCTGAATCAGTAAAAGTCTCGGCGGTTGCATCACTGACGCCTCCCTCGCACTCGCAGGTCTCGGGTTGCACTGGTGCAGTTGGCAGTAAGGTGGACCTAGCTTTAGCAGGACTCCAGCTGTGTTTCTGTGCACTTTTTGCCTTTTTGCTCTTATGTCACTGTGGGAACTGTAATGCTCCACTTGGCTTCAGAGAGGTGTGAGGGATTAGGATACAGTGGCTGGTAGTGAAGGGAAAGTCCACGGGGTGAGAAACACATGCTCACTAATTTAGTCGACTGAGATTCGTCCAATGGTTTAAATTCATAATATGCTTTGACTATTTTATGATTTAACCTTTTATTTAACCAGGAAAGTCCCATTGAGACTGGATAACAATTATACACGATGAACTAACGGGAAACACATTTGCTTTGCCAATGCGCGGATGCCATTCAAATGTATATGCTATTTCCAAGTTTCCAGAGTTGTTTGAATGACCAATGGGTAAAAGAGCAGGGAAGAAATCTACACAAAGTTCTCACAAAGCATTTTGGAAAGACTTCAATTTTTGCCAAACCTCAACCATAAGATCATAGCTATTCTCTGTTCTGCCGTTTTCCTAATTTTGTCGGATTTTTCTTGATTTACCTTTTGAATCAAAGATGGCGTCCTTTAAAGAGGTCATAATAACCAATAGTCAAATACTGTGTTCCAGAAATGATGTCATGAATTTTAGAAATGCCAGCTTTGTATTCAAGATGCTCAGTTTTCTTAATAGGAATTGCTAATGTTTTCCCATAAACGATACTTGCCAAAAGACGACTGAAATATTATTGTCGTTGGTGTGCGTTCAAAACACACTGTTGACTCGTGATGATCAAAACACGCTTTCCATCAAAGAAAGTCCTGTGTATTTCCCTTCATTTACTAGTATTGTCTCCCTCTACTGTTCACATAAACATACAGGGAAGCACGAATGCGGAGAGGAAGGCCACGGCATCATCTCTGCGGAATACTTGAGTTACTATAGCGGTGTTTTCACCACAGCTACACAGCGCTAAAAGAATTAAATTACATACATGCATCAATATATAACCAGCAGCAACCAAAATGCCCTCCAGATTTAATAATAAAGACAGCTTGAACTTGAAACCCGGGTTCTCATAAATAGACAAAAGTAGCGCCTTATTGTACGACATCGAAATGAAAACAATAACAAGATTTAGGGGCTGTAAAACTAATTTAGAAATTCAAATATCTCTGCACTACTGTTATTGGTTAAAGAACTATTCGAGCACAGAGCATGGTTTATTAATGTCTTTTAGATTAGGGGCTTTTTTTTTCACTGGTTAGACCCGCCCATGTTCACCTCCGCAGGTTGAAAGGAAAATCGGAAGACATTTCCATTGGTCGAATATGTATTCAGATCCTTGAGGCCAATCTTCATTGGTTTAACTGTTTTCTTCTAGCAACTCTTCCTGACGCTTGCTTTTTGAAGAGACTATTGCAAATATATTATCCTTGGAAAATACTTACCTGTACATAATAGTACAGAATCTCATGGTCTTAAACATACAATTGTTTGGAGTGAAAGTTGCTGACGTCACATTTAACAGTTATTTCCCTATGAGCCTCCTAACGACTTGGAAACATCTATACTAACCAAACCACCTCTCTCCCCAGAAGCAGATGTCGTTCCCGGCGTTCCCGGCCTGTGCTCCTGTTATTCCTCGCTCCTCCGTGTTGTCAGGATGCAGAGGGCTGGGCGTCTTCAGTTTCAGCGCGGGGGGCCCAGGTTAGTGCAGGTTACACACGTACACACTCTCAGGGTCATGGAAAAACGAACCCAATCCTCAGACCTCCAGCAGAAGTGAAGAAACATCTAAATAACTGAGAGTCAGCTGTCACTGTCCTGCAGCCTTCTCCGTCGCATTGTAAATGAGGCTGTCACTGCACCGCGGCTAAATAAGGAAGAAACAGCTCTATTTTCGCTTTAGGACCACTGAGATGTCTTACTGGGACGTCTTCCTGGTGGTCCGAGGCGAGCCTCTCGACATCATCATTGCTTTAGGGTTTCATATCAGTCGCCTTTATTACAAAATGTTGTTAGTTCAACTCAAATTTGACCATCTATTTTGCAATGTTCAATTGGTATAATTCTCTGCGTGAGTAAATTATAATTTCCAAAATTACAAAAAAGCATAGAACAAGAAGTGTAGATAGAGGAAATATTCAAGTTCTTATCCAAATTAGTTTCCTGGTTTGTGACTTCCTGTTTTTCACAATGGCCATAACTATAATTCTTATTCTGATTCTTATCACATTAGTATTGTCTATTTTATTTTTTTTCCATCAATCCATCCATCCATTTTCTTCCCCTTATCCATTTCTGGGTCAGGGGGTGGCAGTCAGAGCTGCACCCAGTACACAGAGCACCATCACTGATCCTCCTGCAGGTGGGGGGTCCACAGGAGCTGAGATCTTTCAGAAGGGGCTTCAGGCAAAGTGGGGTTAAGTGTCTTGCCCAAGACACTTAACCCCACTTTTATTTTTTTCCTCATTGTTATTTTTCAATATTTTCAAAAAAATGTTTTATTGTTTTTGTTTTACTCCAAACATTTTTGACAGACTGCTCCAGATTTGAGCCATATAAATATGTAATGTTAACAGATGAACTTTCCTCACAATTGGAAGTGACCATGATTGTGTTAAAAAAATAAATCATGAAATGAATGAATCAAATCAATAACATAAAATCTTGCGTGGACTTTCTTACAGTCCTATTCTACTTCTGCCACATCATCCCATCCCCTCCCTCTGCACTGGAACCATCAAACATCAAAGCTTCGCTAAACAGGTACCAGAGAAACCCACCCAAACCCACCCAAACCCACCCAAACCCACTGCTGTCTCACAACTTCAACCCTCTATAAATATGTTTGCCCAGATCTGATGAGCGCCTCCTTTTTTCGGTGACGTTTGGAGCAGAGTTGTTCCCACGAGATAACCGCGGCAGCTCTGTGTCCGTGGGCAGCCCTGTGTTATTATGGCCGCTGTGTATATGTGAGGAGGGAGTGGCATGAGAGAGACCGGAGGATCTGTGCACCATGGTCACCGCAAACTAGGACCAAACTCCTCCTGTTTCACATCAGAGAGGGACGTGCAATAACCACCGATTGTGCAAAAGGAGGAGGCCATGGGCATCTTTAGCCTTTTACGTGCTGTATGAAGGGGTGGGAGTTTGTAAGTTTGATTTCTTCTCAGTTAGTTTTTGAGCTTTCAGGAGTGAAAAACTGAAAGACTTTAAATATACACTGCAAAAAGTGATACAAATAAGTTAAGAAATGCTCAAATTTGGAAACATTTTGACAGTGCCTTAAAACAAGATTTTACAATGGGACAACGCAAAATGATCTTGTTTTAAAAAGATGCAATAAATGTCTCAATTGGAATGTCTTTGTCCCACTGGAGTCAGAATGTGCTAAGATTGAGATAAAACAAAACACTCAATTCAAGCAAATCAAATCTAATATTTTTTAATTTTTGGAAGTGTAGAATGTATGCATGTTTCTATTAAAGGTAAAGGTGCTCTTTATTAATCCCCGTAGGGAAATTCAATCCTCTGCATTTGACCCATCCTTATGCCGCTAAGGCTTACGTCAGGAGCATTACGTCAGGAGCAGCGGTCGCCGTAGTAACAGCGCCCAGGAAACCTCCAGGTACTCCAGGAAGCACAGGGAGAATATGCAAACTCCACTCAGAAAGACCCCATTCCGACCGGGATTCGAACCCAGGACCTTCTTGCTGAGAGGCAATGTGCTATCCACTCAGCCACCGTGCCATCATGGTATGTAATTGCTGTAAAAACTATCATTAATTTCTCTTTATAAGTTTAAAACAATAAAAACAAATCACATAACTAAGTGCATAAGTTGCCATACCAGCGGCAAAAGCTGGGATGCAAGTCTCAAAACAAGATAGACACACACACACACACACACACACACACACACACACACACACACACACACACACACACACACACACACACACACACACACACACACACACACACACACACACACACACACAGTGGGAAAGGTATCTACATCTGTCACTATCTCTTCTTCCTCTTCAGCGCTGGGCAGAAGTGTGCGGTCAGAGCGGTATCCTGGTGTGGGTCACTGGAGGTTAATGTGTGGGTCAAACTAACTGCAGAGGATGTGAAACTGGCCTTTCGCTGCTCTCTTCCTCACGGACTACCCAAGATTTAGCATAGATTGTGAAATGTTATGAAAGAGGTGAGAATCAGATCAGGGTCAATCGTTCAGAATCAGGTCAGATACAGGACTGGACGCTGCAAAAAGAGGACAAAAAGAAAACAATTTTGGAAACGTATGTCTGGATTTGAGCGTCTGAGGAGATTTGCCAGTGGATAAAGCAGTGTTAGACTTGTACTTTTACTTACTTGTACTTTTTGTCATCATTCCATAAAGGTTGATGCATTTCTTGGCACAATGTGAACACCAGATTATCTATGGTCTATTAGTAACATTATTCTGTAACAAAATATGCGTTTCAATTGAATTTATCACGATATTTGACTTTCTGTGTGCGGAATGGGTTGTTGAGGTCTCCACCTAGGACTGCCACCCGGTCCTCTCAGCACCTAGGCCCCGTGGATCCCTCTGTGGGTGGTGGGTCCAAAGAGCTGGTCCATGTCGTCCTATCGGGCTATTTTATTTATAGATAGAGAGATACTTTATTGATCCCTGTAGGAGAAATGCAGGTGTACAGTAGCAACGGAGACACATCCATCCATATAAACAAAACAAATAAATAGATTTCTAAATTCATAATGTAGCTAACAATAGTAATAAAATGCAGCAGCACTTTAGGTCACAGCAGCAGAGGGGAGGGGGGGGGGGGGGGGGGGGGGCGGCTTTGGACCATTTTCTCTGCTCTGGTCCAAAGTAAAATGCTAAATGCTTTGTTAGCATTTTTCAAAAAGTTAGCATTCCTCCAGTGGGTTTTCACCTGATCCACTTGGTTCGGACCATGAATCCTCGCTGCTCTGGATTGGACCAGTGTGAAACCATGAGCACTGTACTGCAGCAACATCTCAGGCAGAAAAAAGCAAGTAAAATAACATTTGTAAAACACAAAAAAACAACTATTTCAGAGACACTTAGGACTTGCTGCTGTTTCCAGTGCATTCAGAAGTAAAGTTATGTGGAGTACTTCAAATTGTAGAGTGCTTTGTGTGAGATCGGTTTGTCAAATGTGCTTTATGAATGAAGATGGCTTTCTCGCTTACTTAAAAGATTCGCACAATAAAACATGTCCACTTTCACTTAGAAGTGAGAGAGCAGTTTGATGATTGATGTAAGTTCACCGCAGGCTATTGAACACGTGACTGGACATTACCGGATTCATGTCTCGGCCATATCATTCACTTTGTTTACTTTTTCCCCTTCCCTTAACTGTACCCAGCTGTGGATCCACAAAAGGATATTGCACATATTACATTAGCTATTCCTGACTGCGGATATAAATATGCATAAGGGTGAAATGTCTTACTTTCCATCTGTCTGGAAACCAATGCATTTACTTTACAGGAGATTGCATTTATAATGGTAAATGGCCACATTTATTTTGAACTTTCAGACACAAATTGCATCATGTCGCTGATGAAAAATAACAACAAAACTTGATTATTTATATTTCTTCATTTTGAATCTGAATAGGAAGCTCCTACCTCCCAGGTCAGCAATAGTCAGGGTAGTAACAAAGTTTACACGTAGATTTCCTCTTCCTTATGTACAGAGGGAAACATATTTTATTTTGATAAAATAAGTTTGTTATGCTATAATTTAAAAGGACATTTCTTAAATATGTATAAAAATAAGTGAATATTACTCAATAATAACGTTTTTTTTTTTTACTAGAATCAAGTCATTTGGGCGGCACGTGGCTGACTGGATAGCACTCTGGCTTCTCAGCAAGAAGGTCCTGGGTTTGAATCCCGGTCGTATCAGAGCCTTTCTGAGTGGAGTTTGCATGTTCTCCCTGTGTCTGCGTATGTTTCCTCCGGGTACTCCGGTTTCACCTACCACTAAAAACATGTCCTGTACTGGCGACCCCGCTCCCACCTCTGTGTGGAGTGGGAGGACAAATGTGCGAAACAATAATAATAATTGTAAACTGCTTTGTGAATGTGGTCTGTGAAAGGCGGTGTATAAATGAAGATTACTTATATTTGTGGCTTGTGTTATTTTCTTATTTTCAGAAATTAATATTTTCTTCTATCGGCAGATAATTTTTAAAATTTTAAGCAGTGTTTTACTTTTACTTTTTCAGATATGTTTTATAATGTTTTTCAAGGTTTTGTCCAGTGTAGTTCTCCACCCTTTGAAAATGAAAGAAAATGAAATCCACCCATGCTTTAAATCCATATATGTGAAATGGGGTGAGTTCCAGACCTGATTGTCATTCGCCTCCACTCCTGGGCTGTGTTGTTTAGATGCCGGCTGCTGTGACCCACGTGCCCTTGAGCAGAGCGTTTTGCCCTGGACTGCACAATAAAGCTGTGTACATAGAGCAGTGTGTGTGTGGATTAACACCGGCGGCACAAGCCAATCCATCGCAGGGATGTTAAAGCAGATTTGAGATTTAACTTGTGAAGTTCGAATAGGTTTGGCCCGAAAGGTGCAACTGAAAGTCACTTTTACACAGAGGAATAAAACCAAAAACCTTCATAGCAACGTCCAAATAGTCATTTCATCAAAACTATTCACTGTCAGTGAATAACATCAGACATGCAAAGTTCAAACCCCTTTTGTCTTTCTATAGGTCCCATGAAAAAGCAGAGGCACAGTCAACACTAGAAAATATCCCTTGAAGAAAATTAGAAAAAATATATAAAAATAAGTAAAATACTGTTTAAAAAAATAAAAATGATCTGCCAAAAGAACAATGGAACATGAAGATTTCTGACAATTATAAAGTAATACAAGCCCCAAATGACTTGTTTCTAGTATGAACACATTTCAAGTAATATTTACTTATTTCCTTAAAAAAAATTCTTAATAGCATCACAAACTTATTTTATCCAAACAAGAAAAGTTGTCTGGAAATAAAAAAAATAAAAAATAAAAACAAGCTAAAAATAACCTCACTGCTTCGACTTCTTTATTAAGATTATGAAGTATCTTAAAACTAGTAAAATAATCGTAAAGATCAAGTTTATTTATAAAGCACATTTCATTTATTCATGTATTTATTTATTTGACAGGGACATTTTAGAATTAATGCATTGCTCAGTCCAGACATATACAGTAGCAACGAGCTAATGGTTGTCTGTGGTCCCTGAGGCTGAGGCACAGTAACATTTACATCTGATATGCTGAGCTTACAAAGACACAAACTCATTTTCAGGAAGACTGTTCCAGATTCTTGGGTCATGCATTTGAAACACTGCCTCCTCATGTTTAGTTCTGACTCTGAGACCAGTCCCTGTGCTCCTCAGAGTCCCTGCAGGAGCCAGTCCCTGTGCTCCTCAAAGTCCCAGCAGGAGGCCAGTCCCTGTGCTCCTCAGAGTTGGTCCATAGGGCTCTGACATGTCACCGATGTACTTTGGTGCAAGGCCGGAGAGACTTGCAGCAAACAGAGCTGCTTTAATGTCTATTTGTAACAGCAGTGCGTCTAAATTGCTCAATACTCCCCCTGTAGGTGCACAGTGGTATCACATCACAGCAGGATACGACAACAATGCATGGGAACCAGACAAGTGCATCAAAAAATAGACTCTTTTTAATCCAGTATTTAGGCCAATCTACTTTGCTCTCTGATTAGCATACTAACGTGTCCCAGGGTTTTGCGTAACGTTCTGGTTAGGAATGTGTAATTGAACTCTCTGTGTCTGCGTAGGTTTCCTCCAGGTGCTCCGGTTTTCCCTCCACCAGTAAAAAAACACACAATAGGTGTAAATGCATGCACCTCCTGTATGACGTGGAGTGAGGAGACAAAGTGCTGCCAACTGTCGTGTCCTTTAGCAAGACACTTCGCCTAAATTAGAATGACTCTGGTTTGTGTGTGAATGGTTGGTGGAGGGAGGGGCTGATGACACAGACTGGTTGCTTTGCTTCTGTTAGTGTGCCCCAGGGCAGGTGTGGCTACATTAGTAGTTTACCACTGTGTATGGAAGGAATGAAAAATGACATAATTGAGTGTCCAAAAAAGCACTTTATAAAACAGATGCATTCTTAATTTTTATTTTTACCTTTTGAGTGGAACTTAACTCTCTCCCTCTCCCTCTCCCCCTCTCTCTCTCTCTCCCCCTCTCCCTCTCTCTCTCCCTCTCTCCCTCTCGGGGTTCTGTGCGTGTGGAGGCGGGCCGAGGTGCCTGACTGTAATCTGTGACGGGAGCGCGCACTGTTCCTCGTACACGCGCGGCAGCAGTGTGGACTCGGCGAGCGCCTCTGCCTCTGTCACAAGCCCGACGCGGCCCACGGAGGAAACACAGCGCACGCGTTTGGCTCAGAGCGCGCGGAGACCTCACCAGCGCCTCGTGCCAAACACACCTCCATCCATCCATCCCTCCATCCTTCCACTTTTACGCACGGCTTTCCACACACAGACATCCCCTCTGCTTTACGCAAGAACGGACTACATGTATTTACTCACACTCATGGCTTCACGGGATTTTTACGCACGAGAACAACGCGCGCCCCTCGACTGGGAATGACCTCTCAAGCCTGGACTAAACTTTAACGTATTTTCTATTGTACTTAACGCGTTCTCTCGTGGCTTTTTTGTACTTTGTTTACCCAAGAAAGCTGCGCGAAGGTCCAGTGCCTCTCCACGCGCTGTACCTCAAGCTGCCCAAGTGCGTTCGGACGCGGACCACGTTACTGCTGCTCCCTCTCAACATGTTCACAAGACAAACTGGACTTTCTCTGCGTTGTATTTTGCAGAAAGGCTCGTCCATCCTCCCACAAGGACTATAGCTAAACATTTCATTATTTGATAGTGAGTGATTTTGATTGTGTGAGAGCTGCCAGTGTCTTTGAACTCGGGTCTTGGAGAAAAGGCAGCGCTTGGAGTGTGGTGGGGAAAATACTTTTTTTGGAAGCGACCCCAAGAAACAAGTGGAGTTTAATTACAGATCAGACATGGATTTACTTTTGTGGTTGAGTGGATGTTTGCTGGCGTGCGTCCTGTCTTCAGCCCGGGCAGAGGAAGGAGGTGAGGTTTTGACACATTTCACTCGATCTCGGGCTACTATCGCGGAGGTGTGAAAGCAGAAAGATAACAGTTCCTCGTGGGAATAAAAAAAAGACTTGTGTTTGTGAGGTAGTGCCATAACTTAATGTTTTCGTGGGGAGTAATGATAGAAACACAAAAAGCACGCGTAAAAGCATGGCAATATACACGCGTTTCAAATAGGGTTCGCTGGGTTTATTACTACTATTTGATCTCTGTCCCTTCAGGCACGGGGTATTATAGCAGTGTTGGAATATATAGTGGATAAATCACCAGCTCCATATAAAATCCTGTTAAAAATGCCAAACTCTACCCCCACAGCACTTGCCTTCTTCACTCGCTGTACAATTTCAGCTTGATACATCCATAGACTTCGCACCACACAGAAAGCGTGCAATTAACTCCCAGCACTTTCCCTTCTTACTTCTAATGACAAGTTTGTGCAGTTAGTAATAGCTCTAGAGGTGCGAAAAGTGACCACAAGCCACTTATAAACACAGACTAAGATTTACACCGCTTGCTGAGGGATAAGTAATCGTTTGTGATCTGATTTGCGGGTTTCTTTGCGCATTAAAACTATAGGAAAAGTTATATTTGACAAAAAACAAGCCACCTGTCTGAGTGAAAGCAGCGTGGTTTAGGGTTTGTTTTTGAGTGTTTTTTGTGTGTTGGGAAAAAGACTGGAGCTGCTGTGTTATTTCGCTGTTGTCACCTTGGTCCCTGTGCGCGCTCTGGGCACCGGCCGACAGTTCTTTTTTGGATAGGAGCAGAACGCGCAGATGCGAGCGACCTCTCCAAAACTAACAAGTTCAGCCGCGGCTTCTGTTTCGCTTATGTTTGTGCAGAGTCACAACGCGACCGAGAGCGTATTAGGGAATGCTTATTTTGTCATTCAAGTGGAGTTTCTTCATGCGGTTTCTCTGAACGTATACTGTTTACAATTCCCTATTGACTTTACGCACAGACTTTGAAGGCATTGGTGTGCATTGGAATCGTAATTCTTGTAACTGTACGTAACGTTCATAGCCAGAGTAGAACCATAAATAGACTGAGCCAACATATACACGATAAGTTGTTTGCTTTGGATGACTAAATAATAATGGAATCATATAGTTTGTCTATAAATTGCACGCTCTAGCTCAAGCTCAGTTCAAACCAATTTATATTACGTTTTTGTTGTTCTTTTTGACGCCTCATTCAAAGTATTATCCAATCAAAGTCCTCAGAAATGTATTAAAACATCAGCTGCCCAAGTTCACTTTCCTCTACACAACCAAAACTTGCCCAGTGTCCCCCAATAAGCTAAAAAACTTAGCTAAAAAACAGTAATTTGTCAAACTTGGGTGTGCTGAAGGTATTTTTTTTTTTTTTTATTGATTTAGGGCTTCTTCACAAGGCGGCTGCAGTTTGTGGGTTTGTTGGAGCTGGTCTCATGACTTGGATTGAGAGCTCCGTCTGCCAAATGTTGTTTTGAAAGGAGAAATTCACTAGAAGCCTTGTGCACGTCACTGCTCCAGACCTCTGTGTAAAGAAAAGGACTAAAACTGTGCGAATGTGACCTGAGGGAGGATGATTTATCACACAGACGAACTACACAGAAGTGATTGGAGAGAGGAAAACTGCTTTGACATGAGATTTTTAACATCAAGTAGCAAATGAGGACACAGACTTTATATCGATTCATTTCAGCTTGTGAAGGGGAGCGATATTTCAAAGCAGCGTGTGAGTCTAAAGTCTAGTTCCGCTGTCAACCCGATGAACGATATAAGCAAGGTACTGTTAAACTGGCTGAGAAAGTGTATTTTTTCTCGTAAAAATTAAGGAACGCTGCAAAAAAAAGTACTAACAGGAAAAGAACAAGAGGCAAGAGCCTGGGTGTGTGCCGTCTTCTCTGTCTAGTGCACACTGGGGTAGTCTTGCACAGTTTTTCCATTGTGGTTTTACTGCAATTGGCAAATAAATTCTTGTATCTTGTAGGAGTTATTGGTGGTCATCTCACAGGCTTGGCAGCTCTTCTTCTAAGAAAAATAGACTTTCAATCTTTTGTCAGGGGCTAAAACTGAGCTACCAAGACCATTTCTGGAATCCTTTATCAATAAAAGTACATTGTTCTTCTATATTAGACAATAGTTAGTTGGCGATATTATTACTGACTTTTATTTGAAGACCAGAATAAACTTCCTATAACTACTTTATTGATGAAAAAATTGTACATGTGAGCCTCAATTCAAACCTCAGCAATATCCGGAAACTCCCCTCAAAGAATATGCTACGTAGAGCTTTTCGTGTTTTGCCAGATTCTATGTTTTTCTCTTGCAAACATAGCTCTATGAATATATGTATTTGAATTGGACTAAAATCCTCTCGGAAAACGCCACCCAGGAGCAGTAACATACGAGAAGAGACTGAAAATATGACTATAGGAAAAGTCGCTGTTTGCAAAGAAACGAAATGCTGTCTTTGCCATTTGCTTTTCCTCTGCCCATTCCAAAAAGCCATATTCTTTCAATTGTCTCCCATCCGAAAGTGCAAACATCATTTCAGAACCTGTCACTTCACCTGTAGCTTTACTCCTCGTCTCCCTTTTGCTCTGTTTCAACTCTGTGTGTGTTTAAACTGGTGGCGTTTCATCACATATTTTTCAGCAGAGGCTCTATATGCAGGCAGACAGCTGGTCTAGAGTGGCCAATTAGGTCCGTTTATCTCCCTTCCAGGCGCAGCTGTGATCAAACCGAATGAAGAAACGGGATCAAACGCACATTCGGAGGAGGGAAAGAAAAAAAAAGGTTTCTTCTTCCGCTGGATCGACTTCTCGCCTCTTGCCCCAGTGTCTGCCAGGCTTCCTTTGACTTGTAGTACAATTCCCCCTGCTTTCCACCGGCTCTGAATATGCACGTTACTTTGTGGAGTCGTCCCCGGGTGAGATGGAGGAGAGGAGACAGTCTATACAAGTTATAGTAAACATTTAAGGAGCTGACAGCAGTGGAAGCAATGAAGTCATGTCTTGTTCTTGCCGCGTTTGTAGCAGTTTAGATTCAAGTTTTATTATTTTTAGTTAGTATTGGTGCTTTGTGGAAAGATGTGAGACTTGGAACTGCAACGCACACGCAGGCCACTAGTTGTCGCCAAAAGCAATTGACATATTTGAAATTGAGCCCGCGATATCTCTATGATGTTAGTTTTTGCTTTTTTCACTTTGACCAACGTTTCTAAAACTGGCCGTGTGAATTTATAGTTAAAAAATGTACACAATTGTATTTGTTTTATGCTTTTGTCTATTGTTTTCATTCTGTGCAATGACAGAAATGTAAATTAACTTGAAATGAGAACGTTTGATAATAATAAAATTAATGGCTCAGTTTTACACAACGCTTTTCTGGACACTCAAAGATGCTTCACATGTCATTATTCACTCGCTTCAAAAAACTACTACTGTAGCCACAGCTGCCCTGGGGCACACTGACAAAAGCGAGGCAACCAGTCTTTGCCATCGGCCCCTTTGAGCACCACCAACCATTCACACACACAAAACTTTCAGACCTGAACTTAAAAAAAAAACCCATTACAGATAGAAACCCAAGACTTCATTAGGGATGCATGCCTTTATGAATAAAATACATGCTTATTTTAGTATTATATAAAACGATAAATTCAAAATGGGCGCCGTGGCAAGAGCTCTGGTGTGTGCTATCCTGGTGCACGCAGGGGTAGGCTTGCACAGTTTTTCCAATGTGGTTTTTCTGCAAATGGCAAATTATTTCTTGAATCTTGAAACATTGGAATAGTACAGTGGCTCCAAGTGACTCGTGTGGATGTGAGCGGCCTCCTGATTGGACTCGGTCATCGGTGACATTGATTATAAGACGGTTAAATCAGATTCTAGAATGATGTGAAATCTAATTTGCACACTGCACCTTTTAAACGGATCATTCGAGTCCTTATCTGTGTGATCGGCTCCCACACAAAACATATTACTGTCCTCGGAAACAAGTCACATTTATGGAGGTTTTTGTGAAGACATAGCCACATACAAAAAAAAAGCTAGTTAGACCTTATTACAGTCAAACCTTTTGTGGAACGGAAGTTATTGACTCTCGAACAACTCAAACTCAGTCAATATTGGCTGAAACAATATGTTTATTCTGAGTGAAAAGCAATGATATAGAACTCGTTGGATAAAAAAGACGTCCAGTATTGGGGATATACTTTCACACTTTCACAGAAAGTGACCATTTCTATTAATTTGTTGACATTTATTTTACATTAAAAAGATGGCTGCACCAGATGTATCCCCATTTGTAGTCACTGACAATACAATAATACAAAGTGCACTTTTCCAAAATACATATTAAAATACAGTTCAGTTGCGTTAGTAGAAGTGTAATGAAGCCGGGCACGAGGAGCAGAAACGAGTGAGCAGCAGGAGAAATGAAGAGAGACGAGGGATCAGAGTTTAGACAGCGCTGAAGGACTAATTCAGACAGGAGCAGAGAAGGCTTTAGTCAAATAAAGTCATGCGAGTGTGACGGAGCAGCTGAAGGAGGCCCCGACCACCACTGCTTTCAGAAGAGCTGGGAATTATAAAAAAAAACTATAGTGCTGTGCAAAAGTCTGGAGGTACAAAAATCGCAATCTCAGGACTGGTCGTGGGGCTGAAAAGGAGGATTCGTTTTTTTCGCTAAACTGCCTGTTTTGGAGAAAGACCTGAACCAGGGACATACTGCGAACGTCTTTCTCTCTCTTTGTAGGTCTAAATATGCAGGGATGAGTTTTATAAGAGTTTAGTCCAGCGTATGCACAAATATACAGTGGCCCCTGGTTTATAAAGAAGGTCCTTTATTCGTCCCACAATGGGGAAATTTCAGTTTGATGCATACACATATAGTACATACATATATACACACACACATACAGGCATGCAGCAAACATCATATCCGCGCTCCTTATAGGCTAAGTGGGTTAAGTGTCTTGCCCAAGGACAC